CAGGTAGGTAAATATAATGCAGTACAAAACCATCCCTTTGATCATTTATATATTTGTTATAATTGTATTCTGCCTTTTCCCCAAGGAATTCCAAAGAGTTATAGGAACCTTCGCTTTCCCAACAATTCTATAGAGTAATTACTGGTTAAAGTAACTAGCAGGACTTGCCCTATGAACATATGGTTAGATAGCTGTGCATTCCTGCAGCACATTGCCCATTATATCATACTGATTATCTGAATGGTTGGTGAGCCATTGAAAATAATCATATAAATAAACCTGCTGTTAGCAAGCAGGTGTACTAATACTGAGATTATGCAATTGTTCTGATAGCTAGATGTGTCATATAACTTAACTGTGAATAATAGTATGGACTGTGTCAAACTCCACAGCTGTCAGTTATTGATTTGCACTTGACAGATAATGGAAGTTGACAAATTCTGTGTCAAGTCACTTTCTAGCTTTTAAAATGGCTGCATTTAAATCCATTTCCACAAATGAATATCGCCAACACCAGGACAGAAACTTTGGCTTCCACAATTCAGTGGATTAAATCACCATTTATATCAGAGACGTTATAGTCTGCAAGACAAATTCTGCTGTTCAGGGCTATTTCCAACACTATCATTCCGTATGAACATTTTGGAAAAAAACATGGTGATACAGCCAGAAAATGAGAGCAGATATCAGGCATAATAACAAAACCTGTATCTTGCAAAAATTTCAGACTCATCTTGACCATTTGCTTTTCTCATACTACATAATTTGACTACTGTTATCTGGTACATCAGATAATGAATCTAGACTGACTGAACATTCCTATGCTCTCAAGAAGCAAATTGTCCAAGATTTTCTGTTTCCAAAATTCCTGAACTCTGTAAGTTTAGTATATCAACCCTTGGGACAATACCAGTGTTCAAGAACATTAATGAGAAAGGTTTGACTGAAGTATTTTGTCTGTGTATTCCTGATTAAGTCAAGGAGTAGCCCCAGTAGGTGTCAGTATTGATGGAGAATGCTGGTGGAAGAGCTGCAGTGGAGACCAGAATGAAGGCTAGCATAGAGAGGCCTGCTGAATAGAGGCACCAGATCTCAGAAATGGTGGTTTCAACTGACTGTGCCAGCACCCTGTCAAACTTGTTAATGCCCTGGTCCTGACCTATATGGCATTGATTCTTAGTCTAGTCTACCTTATAGGGCTGACAGGGGTGTGGGTAATGGTTGGATGGGTCCCTTGGCCAAGGAGGGGAGGAGGAGGGTCAGGATCAGACTTGGATGTGGGGAGAGGTAAGGGCATGAAGTATCTTCAGGGTGGTGATAGACAAAGAAAGACAAGACAGGAATCTAAGGGTGGGCCACTTACAGGGAAGGCAATATCAGTGGTTGAGATCAATCCTGGGTTCGGGCCATTAATATTCACCCTGGATATTAACTTACTAAATCCCTGGTGGCCCTGGTCTCTGGCTGCTGCTGTTAAATTCCATGTCAGCCTGTATAAGGTCTCCTTATCCATAGCTTGATCATGGAAGAGGCAGCTGACCTGGCATGTTTTACTGAAGGTTGGAAGGTGTTCCGAGAGAAGGGGTGTTCCCCTTTTGGAGATATGCCACCTAGGTGTCATGTTTGGCATCAGGCAGATCCCAGGCAGGGGGAGTTGTCATCTGGGAAGCCTGGTCAGATTTCATAGGTCCTGAGCCACAGGTAACTGAAACCTCATGGCTGAACTTGGGCTCTAGAGAGCAGTTGCATTTGTTGCTGTTTTATCAGCCTCCCTGTTGTGCAGCAACATCCCTGCCTGGGCTGCTTGATTCTGCCGCCAGGTTAGTGGTGGATTCACCAGGGCTGATAGTGCTTGGGAACTTAAATCTTCTCCCAGATGGTATAGAGTCTGGTGCAATTCAGGAGTCCATGGCCTGGAATTATGAGAAATTTTCTCAAAACCCCTTAGAAGTACAGAGCCCACATGCAGTTTTTATGCTTGATCTATTCGTATCAAGGCACAAACACTTAACCTGCAATCACATTCAAATCTAGCTAGACTCCAAGCTTAAAAGTATGTTTAGAACAGACAGTTTCAGGAGAGAAAATATTCCAAGGAAAACTCATAGTGCCAATCACCTGGAACCAATTGCATCTATTCAAGGATTCTTCCTTAAATTGTTCCACCAAACGTAATTTGAGGTATCTTTGTCACTTGAACAGGAAAGGATTCTTAACCAGCAGTGTATAGAGACGGCATTAATTGTGCTTGTTGGTGACCTCTGGAGGAGCAGGATGGAGGGGTGGGGGTGATACAAATGTCCTGACCCTCCTTGATTTCTCAGCAGCTTTCAGTACATCAATCATTGTATCCTTCTGGACCATCTGTAGAGAATGGGAGTATTTTGAGGGGTTTTCCTCCTTTCTTTGTGGCTGGTTCCAGTCAGTGTTGATAGGAGGGATAGATCAAGTCAAAGCCCCTGTTTTGTGGGGTATCACAAAGCTCAGTGCTCTCACCTCTCCTGTTTAACATCTACATGAGGCTGCTGTGTAGGATCATCTGTCAGTTTGGGGTCAGGTATTACTACTATGCAGATGCTGCTCAGTTGTATACTTAATCCCAGGCCAAACAAGTGATGCTGTCAAGGTCTTGTCCCAATGTCTGGAGGTTGTAGCAGTCTCAATGGAGAGATTCAGGCTCAATCTGGCAAGACTAAGTGGCTGTGGGTGTTGGGGCCACTTGGATCTGGGGAACTTCACCCTTAGTTCTGGATGGGAAAGATGAACTTCACCATTCAGGGCACATGTGTAACTTAGGGGTTATCGTGGACTCTCAGATCCTACTTGATTAGTAGATGACAGCTGTGGCCAGGAAGACTTTTGCATAGATCCATCTGGTGCACCAGTTATGCTTGTTTCTGGACCTTGTTCACCTTGTGTGTGGATTATTGCAATGCACTCTATATGGGACTGTCCCTGAAGATCATTCAGCTATCCAAAATGCTGCAGTACAGGCAGTTATGGGCATGCCATAGTATGTCCATGTAACACTTTGCGAGCTGCCCTGGTTGCCAGCAAGCTTCTGGATGTAATTCAAGGTGCTAGTTATTATCTATAAAGCCCTTCATGGCATAGGTCCTCATTACTTGAGGGACCACCTGTCTCCCATGGTTTCTGACCATCCTGTCTGTTCAGACAGAGCTGGGATGCCCCATGTCCCATCTGTTTGACAAGGTGAACTGATGTGATCCCAGAAGCATGCCTTCTTTGTAACAGTGCTTGCCCCCTGGACAGCTTTTCTTCATATGAGCCTTGAAGACCTAGCTCTACCCCAGGACTTGTGCCAGGGCTCCTTTGGTGGGTGAGAGATTGATTGCGGGTTGCTCCCTCCAGGTTAACCCTAGTGTTTTTCTTGATCAATTGTTTTTATGCTTGATTTTTATAATTGTTTGCTGCCCAAAGTTGTCTGGAATCGGGCAGCCTATAAATACAATATATAAATACATTTTGTTGAGAAAATGCCAGAATTCAGGCTGTTAAGCATAGCAGGTATCATTTGTTAATGTTTATTTCTACACATTGGTTATTTATTCTTTTAACAATGGTGTCAAGACAAAAGCTCTTTTCTGCTGCAAACTATTAATAATCCTCACCTTCCCCAGTGCAGTTCTTTCTCTACTTTGTAGCAGGATAGCAATGCAACATAAAATACTGTGTCTCGGGAAGAATTGTTAAGGAGGTAATATGGCTGTGTTGGGGAGAGAAACCTGAGGTTATTTCAATACTTGGATCTCTGCGATCTTACTGCAAAATGGGAGGGAATAATCTGCTGTTTGGCTCAGCAGAGGATAGCCCATGGAGATGAGGGAGGATGCTGCAGTGCGTTTCAGGCAGCAGCCTTTGCTGTGAGAACCGTACAGCACTTACAAGAATTGTCGGAGAGTCAAATCAAGATTCCCTCCCTTGATCTTTGCTCTCTTTTTCACTTTTTTCCTTCTTCAGAGGAGTAGTAAATGGTTTGGAGGTTCAGAGAGCCTATACTCCAATTACGCCTGTGCATGCTGAAGGATACTTTGAAGTTTTAATAAAGGTAAATAGGTGCCTTTGTTCTATAAATTAACAGCTTGACATAGCAACGGTGTCATCTTCTATGCCATCAGAGCGCTCAGCTTTGTCCTTTTATAACTGGAGGCCTGCAGTCAAAGTTTTGCTTTGTTGGTATTCCTTTTGCCCCGTCTCCAACCCTACTCAACATAGGCAGCAGGATGAAGCAGTAGGATGGGATAACAGAACAGACTCATTTCAGGATGTTCTCTGATATCGAGATGGAACACATGTTCCTGCAACTTAAAAAAATGACAAACAGAGAAAGTTCAAGCCATGGGAAAACTAACGCTGGGCAGTAAGATTTCTGCATAAGATACCACTTCAAAATGGGAATCCCTTCCTTCAGTCAGAAACACCGAAATCCTTCCTTCTTGCTTCCATCTTTTCCTTTCCCATTTTTCTCATTGGTTTTGTTTTCTATTTGTTATTTGAAGTACAGGGAACAACTAAACTATTTCAGCACAAAAGCAACCCATTTCTATCAGTATAAATCACCCTCCTGCAAACTGGGGTCCTCCAGGCGAGTTGGTTTATAACTCCCATAATTCCCAAATTCTCGGCCGCAGAAGAGAAGGGCACAAGATAGGAAAAGGTTGTCAGAAACCAAGGTAAACATAATAACTTACTGTTACAGTATGGACCTATCACAGAGCAGGCAACTAGGTATAGACAACAGCTATGTATAAGTTCAGGATCAGTATTAAATCAGACCTGTATCCTGAGTGAGGGCCATGGTTCATCCATAAGATAGCAGTTGCTCTCTTTATGTGCTTATAATCAGACGGAAAGTTGGCTAATCCTCAATTTAAGAATAAGCTCAAATGTAAAGAATTAAAAGCCTCTGAATATCAAAATCTTTTTAATCTTTAATGGAAAACAGATTTTGTTGTAGTAGATCCTTGAAGCAAATCACAATGAGCCACCATGTTCCCCTTTGCTCATCTCCAGGAGTGTAAACTCTTCAGCATTTTATCATAGATTGGGTGCTAGTTTTACTGGCATCAACATAGTTCTTTTGAAATGTTACAAGTTGTATAAGACAACTGTAGATGGGTCTTTGTGAACACTGGAGGGGGAAATCTTATACCGTATTTGATCTGCATTAATAAGTCATCTTTATAGGTTGACTGTGCTTGCTTAAAATACACAGATTTTTTGTATTTCAATAATAGTAATAATGATTGTAATAATACCTTCCTTTCATATAGAATCTATTCATCCCAAAGGGAATCATAGTTATTGTCTGGCAGTAACAAAAGAGATGGAACACCCATCATTTGTATAACTTGGTGTAGATTGTAGTGTCTTTCTCAATCCAGACAATTTTGGGAAGTAGCGTATTATTACTAGTAGTATAACTACTACTGCTGTTACTCCTACTGGTGCTATGCAATCCAAGTGCTATTCAAACACCTCAGTGTTCCATGATTACAGCACTGCACTTGTAATACTACAGTTAAGAGTGTGTGAGTGGTGATTTTCTGTGCTTAACCTTATTTTTGAATGATTCTTTAATAGTATGATTTGGAGGGGGGGGGTAGTAAAACCTAGTACAGAGTCTTTCTCTGCAGGAATTTTTCTTCTATTATTTAAAAGAATTTATTATAAACCAGTTTGGTTGTTTCTGCATTAGAATGAAGAAGAAACCTATTCTTAATACATTTTCTCCCCAAAACCAAGATTCCATTACATGAAATGCATAGCAACTGAAGTCTTGACTCTCCACCCCTTTAATTTAATATCCCCATTTGCCCTACCTTCACTATGGCTGGACTTGCCAACCTTTTTTAGGATGATACAGTTTTGTACATTAAAAGCAGTTTAATGTGCAAAATGTAACAGTAGAAATGGCAGTAGATAAATGAGAAGAAAAAATGCATTTGCTTAATTGCTGGGTAAAAATGGTGCAAATCTAAGGAAGTGGATTCCGTAACATGCAAGTTACACTAATAAGTGTTTTAATTTTCAAGGTGCTACATAAAACTCTTATTTTGCTATATTCTTATTGGAAGTTGTTATTTGTCCAAAACATAGGCACAATACCAGTATAAATTGGCAATCTTAGGTTTGATTATCCTGCTTATTTTGTCATGCATGAAAATGTTTCTTACCAATGTTAATTATGAATATTTGAGGGTTTCAATTGTGAACAAATTTTTGTATGACACAGATCCATTTCTATTCCAAATTCATAACTGATAGAAGATTCAAAAAGGCAAAATACACAACTGGAATTTTACTTCTCAGAATGTTCTCTTGTTTCTATAAATACACAGAGTATGAATGGTTACTTGCAGCTGGTGCTAATTAGTATATCTACTAAATAAAAAATCCTGCTTGCAGATTGTTTGTAGTTTGAGCAAGTTTAAAAATACTTATGTAGTTTTTCTGCTCCCAGTACAATTATAATTCAAAGCAAAAGACAATGTTTAATTTAAATATAATGTAATGAAGTATTGTACACAAATGCTAGATTTAAGTATCACTCTGATTTAAATATTTTTTTGCTGTACTTGATATGTACCCGAATGCTTTTTTTAAGAGTCACATTAGACGTTTTAATTGAAAAGATGTGAATTACTGGTTTGAAGTCTGTATTCCCTCCCTTAATTTTTTTTTTAAAAAATTTCTTCCTTTCTTTGGTTTTTGGTTCTTTTATAAGTGCTATAAAACTGGACTGATGTCCCAATATATAAAATCATGGAAAACAGGAGATGCCATTTTTTGGAGAGGACCATTTGGAGGCTTTCCTTACACAGCCAATCAGGTAATGCCTATAACAGGTAGCAAACAGCCACCGACCTTGATTCATTTTGATTTTAGAAAATGAAGAAAAAAATCCATAAGTAGATCTGTTTCATGAATTATTGCTGGGTTTGTTTTTTTAAACTCAGAAAATACAGCAAACTATCAAGAATTGCAGTGAGTCAGATTTAGTGTACTTCTTTTCTGGAAAAAGATCTCTCTTAAATAGTTATTTGCTTCTGAGTAGACATACATAAAATTGTACTGGAAGTGTGTGAGTCTGACCTGAGAATCTACCCTAAACTAGAAACACCACCAGTTCTTGTATAACTTTTGGATTTGGGGATTTTGCCTTTTTTTTTTTCTGGATTTTTCAACTGTTATTTCTTCTTTCATCTACTTGCTGCTAAACACCTGGTGATTATTTAGGGAATTATTGCTGATATTGACATTGTTCATTACAATGCTGTGCCATAATGCCTTCACTAAGTCAAAGGCAAGTAACATTATGCCTCAGAGTTATGTAAGAAACCATAGTAGAAGACTATCTTCCCCATCTTTGGCTGGGGATTATGAGAATTAGACTGATATATCTAGAGAGCTTCATACTGGAGAAGGGCAGAGTAAGGCAATGTGGAGGAATCAACAGAGAGTCCCAAGGTAAATGGACATTGGCAGATATTGTGATTATCATTCTGGATCCACCAACAGCAGGTGTACTTTAATTTATTCCTCTAACTTAAAGTCCTGGATTAAACAACAGAATGGCCATAGGATAGCTGACTGAAGATTTTTAAAATATCATTAACCTGAAGCCATACACTTAGCTTAGAGGGCCATGTTGGAAATGTAATTTGAATAAAGCTGTATATTCTCCACACACACACACATAACCATGACTGGAACAACCAATTCTGAGGGTAGCAGAAATAGATCAGTAAGTAGGCTCTGTCATTATTTATTTAATATAGTTTGTTTTAAAAGGTAGAAAGCTTTTAAAGAGAGAAAATGTAGCATACAACTGAAGTGTATATATTCACATTATCTTTTAGTGCATGGTCTTTATGGCAGAGTTACCTCTACTGAAAATATAGGGGAGAGCACAAATACTGTATTTTCCAAGTACAAAGTTTAGGTAATGGAATAAAAGCCCAGTCCCACTACAGATGCAGTCAAGGACAAACTGTCTAGTGAAGTCATTCTGGGGACACTTATACAGCCAGATTAAAGAATGTTTCTTACATATAAGAAATAGGATACTTGATGATCTAGTCTTCTCTACTCAAAAGCAATGTTCATTGAGTTTAGTGAGGCAGTGGGCTAAACATGTATAGGACTATGCTGTTAATGGCTAACGGCATCCTCTTCTTAAGACCTTGCTAGTCATCCTTCTCCTTCAGACATCATTCTGAATGCAAAATTATGTAGTTGTAAAGCAGTCATCCAAATAAACAATAATCTTAAAGATTTCTTTGATTAACCAGTTAATTTAAGGGTAGAATTTAAAATTCACTTGCTAAGGAATATTCCATAAATATTCCTTTGACCCTTATGTTATGGGGTTACAGTACAAATGTTCATCTGAAACAAGAAGTATGTTTATTTGTGGGTGACACATAGATGTGCCTTAGGTGGAATCATCCAGCATGGACTGATTTAGACCAAGGTGATCTAAATTCAACTTCCCCTTTTGTCAGTATAAATCTGATCACCATTCTTTATGAATTTGTAATTAAAAGGAACAAACACTAGTTTTACACTGTTGCAGCTTTACAATAAGGCCTTGCACCAGTTGCAACCAATCTGCGCCATTCTTCCTCTTCTTACTTATAGAGGAAGGTCTTTATTCCCACATAGAGTTGTCTGTGGGTTAGGATGGTGAGGGTGGGGTTTTCCAATCAACCCGTCTGATGGAAGCGGCAGCATTATGTCACTGAAGAACAAGATCCTTTTGTGTGTGCATCATGCCGTTACACATGCATGTGCCAAAGGGACTGAGTTCAGAGTACAATGGTGCAATGCTGCTTTCATCATATGGACAAAGACAGGCAGAGCTGTGGATGCTCACATGACATAGACTCTTTCTTAGAAAAGCAGGCATAGCACTGAGATTAAGTATAAGAATGTGGAAAACTGTGCATTGAACAAAGTTGTCTTTTCATGTCATTTGAATGTCACTCCTTTCTACTCCACTCCTTTCCCTAACAGAAAATAATGGAGTGGTGTCATAAATTCAGCTTACAAACTGATTGGTTTCCGTTTCTGATGACTAAGACACATTTGCTATATTTTGTTTCATTTTTAGTATGGAGAACTACTCATGCTTGCTTCTGGCACAGGTATAGCACCAATGCTTCCTATTATTCAGTACGTAACTGAAAATGAAGATGATGAAACTTTTGTAACTCTAGTAGGCTGCTTCAGAACTTTTGAAAATATTTACATGAAATCTCTTCTTCAAGAACAGTCTCGATTCTGGAACATAAGGACATTTTATGTATTAAGCCAGGTAAATACTCTATTAGGAAATTGTCCTTCTATACTTCTGGGACAATGTAACAAATCCATTCATTTGGTTATGGGCTTTACAAATTGTAGATGGCTAATTCATGACAATCCTGCGGTGTCAGTGTAACTCTGGATTATAGCTTAGCAGCAGAGCACATGTTTTGCATGCAAGAGGGCCCCGGTTCAATCCATGATGACTCCAGGTAGAGTTAGGAAGGATTTCCTGATGGAAATTCTGGAAATCCAGCACCAATCTATGAAGATAAAGACTGATAAAACAGCTGCAGATTTATTTTTAAAGCCTCACCATGTGAGATCCATTCACCAGGCACACCAGAGAGGGCTTAACCCCATGTTGCTTACAAGCACTGGTATGCACTCCAGCAAGAGTTGGCTCAGACCCCTTTCTACTTTTGGATAGGACTCAAAACCTTCCTCTCCAGCTGATCCTTTTTTTGAAGTGCCCTTCCTATGGGATGGAAGATGGATGAATATATTAACTTTTTTATGCACGCACACAAACATACATATCCAGTGTTCTCTTCCATTTCAGGTAAGCAACATCATGCAGAATGCAGAAAGGAAGTAAAAAATAGCAAGCCAAAGAAATTCAACACTTGACATAAGAAAAAAAGATACGAAAAGAAAACATAACTGAATTTATTTTGTACCAACTTTATTCGCAAAACCTCTCTGTACTTTTCTGTCCTTGAAAACCATCCTGGCTTCACCATGTTCATGCACCACTTTATATATTGCCTTTTGCCTTTTCAAACTTCTCATATCTCTTTTTTTGAGCATCTTACCAGCTCCATCCAACCATGAGTTCTTTAATCTTCCCTTTCCTCTCAACCCATTCTCTCTTTCTTCACATATTTGCTTTGCAATTTGATCCTCATTAGTTCTCCCTCTATAACCAAACCATCTCTGTGTACATACTGGTCGTTCACTTTTGTATTCAACCTACAAATGCTGATAGAAAAACTGTAGTTTTTCTATCAGCATTTGCACGTCTTCGCATTTCTCCATCCATTTCCCCATTTTTAGTATACATTCTACCAAGATACACAAATTCATATACTTGCTCTAATTTCTGACCGTGTAACATAGTATTTATAATACTTCATTCCAGTTTCCCTGTCAAATTAATTTGTGGGTCCATACTCTTTTTGCATTATTTAGTTTATCTGACATCTGCTACAAATTATAGGTTCCCAGCCAACAGCATATAATATGCACACAAAAGTACATTCCCACCCCAAAACATCTTCAACATTACTACACACATTCCTTATACATTTATCCACAAATCCATCAAACAACCAATCACACAACCTTATCTTGCTAGTTGTTCACTATTGAACCATTTACCAAGCATTCCATTTATTCTTAGGTGTGCTTTATTTCCACCCTATACTCATTGTTTCAACTCCATATTCACACAAGCATTCCTTAATTCAAGGCTACTCACTTTTTGCTAAAACTTTCTCTAAATTAGCAAACATGCAATAAACTTTATTTCTCATATTCATGTATTTCTCAGTGACTTGCTATAGAGCCGAAATCTGGTCTGTATACCCTCTGCTCAGCATGAAGCCACATTCCACCTCCCAGATTTTAGTCATTCTCACCTCTTAAATTCTTTCATTCAGAATTTTTCCAAATATCTTCCAGGCATGCTTAACAAACTAATTCCCCTGTAGTTTTTGCATTTCCTCTTACTGCTTTTCACTTGCTATAAGAAAACAGGGACTGCATTCTTCTAATTATCAGGTACAGAGGCAGTATTCACATGCACATTAAATAAGCCATATAGCCACTCTGTAAACAAACTACATTCTTTTTAAATGTTTTCTAGTTACACCATCTACGCCTGCAGCCTTAGCATTGGTTCAATGTTTTCCTAGTATTTATGGCTTCCCTTTAATTATTTTTTCCTGCAACACAAATATTTATAGCATTTCTTTCAATTCTGTTTTTCAGCCTATCTTCCTCATTCCTCATAAAAGCCTCCAAAATACTCCTTCCAGCATTCCCTCACTTCTGTTTCATCCCAAGTCATTACATGACTTTATTTTAAATTCCATTCACTCTACTGGAGGTTTTCTTGATACTGCTGATTTTCTTGCTAAAGAAATAGAGATTGGTGACCTAATCATTCTACTAATTTGCAAGATTCCAAATAATATATAATTAAATAATTTCAGCACCTCAATTATCTATCTCCAACATCTCTAAGCACATCTATATGAATTCAAGGCCTGAGGACTCAGAGTAGTTTACTGCCTGCCTTGCAGACATTAGGATCGAGTGGGCAACAAGAAAAGCCTGCTCAATTCTAGAGTCAGTTTTCTGGTGCCCAGTTCAGGCTTTTTCATGCTAGTTTTGGAAAGCATAGGGCAGTGCAAAATCCCATCGGAGGACAGATACGCTCTCAGGTCCAGTGCCATTTTTTTCCAGTTCTGATTATTTTTCTATGCTTTTTTTCCCTCTCAAATTCCCTCTCTACACACTCTGTCCTACAAATATATAAAATCTGTCCTAGAAATAAATAAAATTATGCATCTCTTATGGCACAAATAGGACTCCCGAGACCATAAACCACTTACTCTGTATTGACAGCATTACAGGGCATATCTTAGTGACATTCTCAAGTAATTGTTTGAGAAGTCATCAAAATGTTCAGGTTTCTGCTTTGATCAGGTAGTCTGAAGGAAGAGTATGTTTTTGGGTTTAACCTGATAAAGCATCAGTCTTTCTTGTATGAATAATTTTCTTCACCTTCAAATCAAATTAACTAAGCATTGTTGGCCAAGAATAGAACCGTCTCATTGGCATTAATCCAACTAAAGTTAGTTGTGACTAATTTTAGCTGGATTTGGACTACTGAATGGCACAGTTTTGTGAATCAATTTAAAACAGAATAGTAGGACTCTGTTTTAAAATAAAGTCTCCACAAATCTAATGACTGTTAGGGTGATATGAGTGTTTTTCTTAATGTGAGCTTCCGAAAATGCATTTGAAACCTCAGTAAGTTAGAATTCACCATATATTTTTGTAAGATAATTTTGCAAATGTTTTGTTTTGCCTTTTAGGAACATTCACTTAAAAATCTGCCATGGAGCTTTCGAGAAACTACACATCTTGGTCGAATAAATGAAAACCTTATTAAGAGTATGGTGAACATGTGTAGAAGGCAACCTTTTGTACTAGTGTGTGGCTCAGTGACATTTAATGAAGATATGGAGAAGTGCTTGAGAGCAATTGGTTTTGAAAAAGAGTCATATTTTATATTCTAAATGGCTTCAAATAAAGTGGGTACCTTGGCTACAAATATTGTTAATGGACAGGTTCCTTTTTATATATCTGTTGGTCTGCTGAACTTTTTAAAAAAAATTTCTATACATAAAGTGTTTTATGAATAGTCCCATAAATTAACATAATTTCACAGCTAATTATATTCCTCTAATTCAATTTGTTGCAAGTTTTTTTTTTTTTTTGACATATTTCCCTATCTTTTGTGGCGATACTGAGACCTGATATAGTGCAATGAACACAAACACTGATCCAGGACAAGGATCAGAGTCATCCTTGTGATCTTCCAGCTATCAATCTGGGTTGGCTAAAAATCTTTCTACTGTACATGCCAAGCTGAATGGCATGCAAGAGTTACACTATAGAAATATATCTCTTGCTATGTTGCAGATGATATCTGAGCAGGACATTCTGCTGTGTAGCTGTATATCATCAGAGTGCTGCTTTATCAGCATCCTCTGAAAAATGATTTTAAAATTTTGAGGGACACATTGTGAATCTTGCCCTAGTATACTCTAAATGCATTGGGTTGCCACTGCTTTAAGAGTCACATTAACTGGAATCAGTGGATTCTTGAAAGCAATAGTGTATATATATGGAAACCTGAAAAAGGTGGCTTGCTTTAATGAATGGGAGAGAAATACTGTGCTTGTACAAGGTCTAAAACACATTTCTACTCATTCTTGAAACATACACAATATTTAGAAGCAAGAAAGTGCATCAACTTTAATATCAGAACTTTTTAAACTACCTGTTCTTTCAGATGAAATTATATTTTTATTCCTTCTAATATAAAGGCACAATGTTTGTGAAATCTCCCCCTAACAATTATTTTGCTAGCAATGCAATCACTGTTGGAGCAAAGTAGTATAGGAAAAAAGAATGAAAAATTAAAATGCATTTTTTTTCTCGTTGTAAGTCTCCAAATCATAGTGGTTACTATGTTTATTGGACAGTTCTGGTTTGTTTTTGTTTTTATATTATGGAGCACCGAGTTCAATAAAATACTAACTGATAATAATATCAAGTTTAGTTATATCTTAACTTTTACTGAATCTATTAGCACCCCTTCAAGCTCAGGTAGCAAAATCTGTAATACAATAAGAGACAGAAAGTTTCATTTTATATCATAAGGCCTACATTTGATCTGTTTTAGGGGGGACAAGTATATTGATCTGTAAACCAAGGAAACCTGACATTTTACCCTAATGGAAAATTGCACTGAGTTTTGTTTCAGTCACGGAACCTGCCTTGCGAATAGAAAATGCCTCAACCTCAGTGAAGTTATACTTTTCTCAGCAGCAATAAAATAATCTATACAACTTGGTTTCTGAGTAGAGAGGGGTCATAGTTCAGTGTTACAAAATCTGCTTTGCACGTAATAAGTTTCCAGCTTCAATCTGTGGTATCTATTTGGCCTAATCTTAACAGGTAGATCAGTGATCTGATTCAAGACAATGCAAAGTCTCATGTCTTTGTATACACAGTAATGTATATATTGCATTTGAGACTATATTTTTGGCTGGGAAGAATTTATCATGAAACATGTAGCCTACTGGAAGTTATGGATATTAATCATCAACACCAATCTTTACCATGCTGAGAAAGATAGGTCACTACTGCTGGCATTTGTTCTTACAGCATTTAAATGCATTGGTACTATGTGAAAACGTCTTCAAATAATATGCATTCAATATATCTAAATAGCTTCAGGAGCATGGGAAACATTTATAAAATCAGATTAAAAGCTGATGATGAAAATTTCTATAGGATTAAACTGCTGTGGAATCACAAGAGACAGAGTTGACCCAAATCTGAATTATATGTATTCCCATTACCCCATCTTCAGATAGTAGTGCCGAAGATCTACTAGATATCCAGCAACATAATATTTCAGCCTTCAATCTGAGGAACAATTAAGGAAAAAATAACAAATCTTTATTTCCTTTTTTACAACAAATATTTGAAAATTGCAACTAGTTCCTATTATTTGGAAAGAAAGCATGAACAGAACAAAAGGATCCTTGCACTTATCCAAAAGAGATAGTTATCTAACAGATTTTAGTCTAAAGATGCATTCTGGTTGCATTTTCTGTGAATGCTACATAGAGTCTAGTATCTCCTTAAAAACCTAACATGTTACAGCATTGCCCTTATTGATCAACTTTGGGAATTGTGAAAATGAATGTGTGAGGAAGAAGAGACTGAAGATCTCACATGATAACTTATGTGCCATCCGATGAAAATGTGAGAACCCCTACAAGCATTTTCCATCTACTCATCTGACCACACATAGTTTGTGAGATGGGAACTGTGTATAATTTCAGCCTTCCCTCTCCACATAAAGCAATTCTGCAATGCAGCCTTAGTTGCTTGCTTCATGCTGCTCCCAGCTGTTTCTTAAACCAGGTTCAGAAATTCTACTCTGAATTACAGTGAGCCTATTGAAATTTCCCAAGGCTGCTATTTGCTACCATTGGAAGAAGCGGCTGATCCAATCAAGACCTACAATTTATTAGTTGCAGAAACTTGCATATTAGGACTGTGCAAAGCATTCAAAGGAAGTATTTTGGAGTGGAGCATATAAATTGAATGGGTACAATTTCTTGCAGGACTTTAATGTCTTAAATAGCCAACCCACAAGCAAAAATTCAAATCTGAACCAGGGATATTATCTAGCCAGTTCAGTCCAGGTCATGCAAATGGGTTGCTGAATTCCTCCTCTTACCCTGAGGAAGAAATAGAGGCTCAGGTAGAGGAGATAATTCACAAAGTCCTTCAGCCACAACACTACTTTCCTCTGAACTTTCTGTGCCCCTTAAGACTGCCTCAGCTATGGCCCCCATTAATGCCTGCACTGGTGTGGCTCAGGAGCTAGTGTAGCCCAATTCCTCACTAGGCAAGATGTAGGATAAGAGTCCAGCAGGTGGCTGAGAAGGAGGAGCTGGAGCTGGGGTGGTCAAGGCCAGCTGCCTGGAGTCAAAACAGGAGATGCAGAGGACGGATGGGAGGAACTGGGGTGGGAGTGAAATGCGGCTGCCTAAGAAAGCAGGGGTGTAGGCAAGAACCAATCCTAAGCTATTAGGGTTTGTTTTAGGGGGAACATATGCAATTTTGGGTTCACACAAATGAACCATGGTGTGGTGTAGTATTTAAGATAGTGGAGTAGGAGTGGGAAGACTCAGGTTCTAATCCTCTCTTTGGCTTTGGCATAAAGCCAACTGGATAACCTTGGGCCAATCATTCCCTCTCAGCTCAAATCAGCATCAGGCTCCGCAACAAGTTGACTGAAAAATGAGACCCCCATGTTCCATCATGGAGTCTAGAGGTCATAAATTACTTTGTTGCCTACATATATTATTGAATTAAAAAGTAAATTTCAGTTGTTTAGGGAAAATAAAGTTGTAATATTGTTCTCATCCAAGTTTGCAGTCCCCCTGAAACTCTTGGGTTAAAATGCCCTGGATTAGAGAAACTAACCACTTCAATCACAACCCCATGGGCTCCTGAGAAAGACCAATTTTCTGGATCTTCATCCCATTAAACCTCTTTGTGGTATGCAAGGTTTTGCTTGTTGCTAACCCATATCAGTTCACAAGGCGACTCTCACTCACATAAATATACTTCAGCAGATCAGAATAGTCTTGAATACTTTGGAGCTTTTAGATGCCTCTCAGAAGATTGCAGAGATAAATTTGGAAGGGATATTTTGTTTAAATCCTGCTTCTGGAAGGATTGGAGTTGATTTAGTTAAAGTATCAAAGTATCTTAACCTCCCCCCGCCCCCCTGGCCATTTTCATTATTATTTTTTCCACCAAGAAGCAGATCCCAAAGTAGACAGTTCACAACAGGATCCTTGTTGGTTTTCCCTTCCCTTCCCTTCCCTTCCCTTCCCTTCCCTTCCCTTCCCTCCCCCTCTGTCTACTGACTGACAAATGGCAGCTCTCCCATTTAAGACACAGTTTGTGCAGCACAGGCACCAGGTCACGAGAGGGTGAAACGTGTCACGAGGCTGAAATACGATGTCTCCTGGGATCAGGTCACAGCTGGTGTTGCTGTGCAGTCTGCATGCCCCCTCTCCTGGCTGATCAAACCCATTGTATCTATTGTGTGCAGCAAACAGCAAAAGCTGGAGACACAAAGCAAAATGAAAGGAATGAAGAAAAACTGGATGAGCAGAAAATATGCTGCTCCAAAGGGGGATATTTCAGGGCCGGGGGAAGGAGTAAGTAGAACTCATATCATGCCAAGTAATATTTTTGAACCAGCAATTACTTGTTTATGATGGAGATGACCTACAGCAGTAAATCTGCAGCTTGAGTTTCTTTTCCTATTATTCAGATCTGCAACTTAAACGCGAGATGTGATATTGCCTAGAAAACAGGTGAAGCTAGAAAAAGCCAGTAGTCCTGGTCCTGCTGAGACCTTAGAGTCAGAGGTGGAGAACACAGGGCTTGTGGAAAGCCCCCCATCTGAAAACTCAGATTGAGCATGGAGTCCTGGGTGCAATCCAGCCCCTCTCTCTTCAGTTTGGACACCAGGCCCTGAAAGTACTCCACCAGTCCACAAGAAGAGCACACCCACTGAATGACAGAGCAACAGACTAAATGGGGCTAAAATGCAAGGCTGGCTTTCTTGGAGCAGGAGTTTCCTCAGGAGCCAAGAATTTCCATGAGCAGATCATTCTACCATGAGTACAACCAAGTGCAGGCTGGATTTAGATGGAATCTTCTGCTGCTCTCTGGCAGAAGGCAGATAAATGCTGGAAACAGTATTTGTTGCAGTCCTTCTTATGCCTACAGAGCCTGAATCCTGCTTCAGCTGTTTGCCATGTCTCTTGAACAGTGGCTGTCCCCTGACTATTCCTGGCACCTGCTTCACTAGAATCTGGTGCTGTATTGTCTCTGCTGTTTTCATCCTGGGTTATCTATTCATTAGCTGTTTCTCTTCTCTGCAAGTAGTTTATGAATTGTTTCCCAGGCAATGCAGTTTTCCTATACTCCTTGGCCAAGATACCAAG